TGGGAGGGGAGAGGGGGTTCTCATATTATAGCTGTTTAACCCTTTAACCCCCATAAGTGACCAAGAAAGAATTTCTTAGAATATCAAACAGAGAAGCAATGACAAAAAAGAAAAATATCAATAAAGGGATTATTAATTGATCCATTACTAACATCTTGAGAACTGTGCAACAGACAGTAAGGAGAATTATTATCCAACTACACTCCATAGAGTACAAATAACACTTAAGGTGCCTACAAATATCATGTGGTATTTGTACACCAGAGAACTGGTTAGACAGGTTTTCTCACATCATGCAAGCAATGAATTGGATTGACAATTTAAATTTTTTCTACCACAAAGAGTTGGAATGGCTGGAGAATGCTGATCCAAGTTTATTAGTTAAATTTAACATAGAGAAGCAGTTAGACGATCACATTGAAATTTCATCATCAGTTGAAGAAAATAGAAACAGCAACATGACAACGTGCCAATGTTGTTCCTCTTTGCATACTTCTGTCATGAACTCCCTGTAAATAAATATCTGGGCTAGTCAAAATACAGCACAACTCATAAAAATACTCAGTGATACTACGCAACAAAATTTCTAATAAGATATTTATTTACTGAGACCTTGGGGATGAAAGGGTTTAGGAAGGTTTTGGGGAGAAAGCATAAAAATACCTGAAACAATCTCAAGCAAAATATAAGATCTGATTGATAAATTGAAGTAGTCTCATACTAACACACCCAAATTGTAATGTGTCTTATGTACAAAAAAGGATCCTAATTGCTTTGCCATACAGAAGAAGGAATTTATGAGATATTGTAATAATATATAATACTGAGGCGATAAAAATGAAGATATGTTAACAGGTCTAAACAAGTGAAGTAAATTTTTWTTTTTTTTTTTTTTTTTACAGGTTATGTTTCTGAATGAACTTGAAGAAATTCTTGATGTCATTGAGCCATCAGAATTTGCCAAAATCTTAGAACCTCTTTTCCGACAACTGGCAAAATGTATCTCCAGCCCACACTTCCAAGTAAGTGCGGAATTTGCCTTTAATTTGTTTGTTGATACAATTTCCCAGAATTTTTTATGCTCTGCATTGTCGGAACACAGCTCTGCCTCTTTTCAGGTAGCATATTCTGTTCAACTGAACACAAATGTGTCCAACAATGATTTCCTTTATTCTTCCATGGTTTTGTGTGAAATAGTTTGTCAATAACAAGGCAAAAAATAAGGTTACAGTTCACAGCAACAGATGTAGAAATACACAGAGACACTCAAGTAGTGTTTTTACTATGAAAATCATGATTATTTGATGGAAACAGTGTAATTAAAGAATTCAGTTAATTTTTTGTGAAAATCAGTTAAGGTAGATCAAAATTCAAGACTTAAACAGAATAATCCTGTTCAGGTTATGGATATTTTAGCTAGCATTTTTTTTTTTGTCTTTCTAAAATTGAGGGATTTGCATGTTTTAATGGAAGATTACTTTGGCCTATGTGTTGCTTGTTTTGAAACAAATGTTCCAGTGTAAAGATTATCAAATGCTTATAGCTAGATTTTTTGACATCCTGATCATGATCTCTGATGGAAATAACAGCTTATAACTATTCTTGTTTTGATCTGCAGGTTGCTGAGCGTGCGCTTTATTACTGGAATAACGAGTATGTGATGAGCTTGATGAGTGATAATGCTGGTGTCATAGTGCCAATCATGTTTCCATCTCTTTACAAACACTCAAAGAACCACTGGAACAAGTGAGTACAAGTTTTTGTTTTTCAACTAAGATTTATGTTAACCTGGACACTCATGGTTTCACTTCCTAAGGTATCTTTTGTAAGCAAGTGTTGAGTAGAAGAGGAATAAGACTTTTTCGCTTGTTATAAGAAGTGAGTGCAAAGGTTAATGAATTGAAAAAAAAAAGCAGTAAAGGTAAAGAATCCAATCCTACAGACCCGTCGGCCAACACTTCAGCCAACATGTTGGCTGACACACTACCGACACACTACCAATGGCTGGGAGGGAAGAATTGTTAATTTAGTTGGTCAGGAAAATTTGACATTTGTTTGGGAAAAGTCAGGAAAAAGGCATGAAGTTTTGGAAACCTATGACTGTGGCAACCTTGTGAAACATTTTAGTTTGTAATCATTCCTATTAGTTGTCACTGCTTGTTATAATTATAATTGTAATTCCTCCCCCCCCCCTCCCCCATCAATCCATACAAACCTTGAAAACTTGTTACTTACTTCTCCAGGACAATCCATGGTCTCATCTATAATGCTTTAAAGCTATTTATGGAGATGAATCAAAAGCTCTTTGATGAATGTACACAAAAATATAAACAAGAGAGGCAGAGGTATGGCCATATGTAGCAGTCAGAATGTCTTCAAATTACAAATTGTATCTATAGCTTTTGTGACTTGTGATGTTTCTGGTTAATCAGTGCTTAACCCTTATGAGTGGTTAGCATCTAAATTCTCCTTCAGTATTGCTGCTGAATCAAACACTTAAGTTATGAGAACAAAGGAAATGATCAGCACCTTTAAAGAAGTTCTTAATCATTAGACAAGTTCTCCTTGTCAGTATGTTAGGAAATGTGTAGAGAACAGCATGGAAAGTACACAGTGATGTTCAGAATTAAAAAGTTAAATGTGCTTCTGATGTTCTCTCTCAGGGAAAAAGAAGACCTCAAAAAGAGAGAAGAAGCATGGCTAAAAATTGATGAACTAGCTCGGAAGAACCCAGATGTAAGTTACTTAAATACATTTTTTGAAAGGAGTTGCAGGCTTTGAACATTGGCTGTGAAAGTTGAGCTAATTATAACAGAATGTTTTAACCTCATTCACTGTCATAATGGACAGAATTGCTGCTTAGTTAAATTTGGAATCAGTGAACATTAAGGACTTGATGTGACTGCCTCTTTGATTCTCTATGGTTTAATGAAATTATTAAAATCTTTGAGAATTAGTCAAAAGATGGCCAAACAATGTTCTCAATGAAAATTAAACTAGCTTCTAGCCCAACAGTGGGCTTACAAATCACTGTCTACACCAGTCCTATTTGTTTTTGTTTTTTTTTTACACTTTGAAAGAACAGTTACTTTACCTTTGATTGTGATTTAGCTGGTAGAACTCTTAATATAGGCACAAACAACACACAATTCATACAATTCTACAGTCAACTGATGAACTGTAATGAACTTTATTACATGATTCAGGCAGTCAGAGGGCCAATAACTAAAATCAACCAATCAAAATGCTCTATTACCGGTCAATATTCTCTCAGTATTGGACCGGGCACTGTCCCTAATGGTCCTGAATGATACCGCACTTGTGTCCCTTTTAACTTCAGTCGTGTAATAAATGTCTTATTAACCAAGGTTGCTCGGGACTGCACTGGAAGAATATCGGCCCTCGGTCTTTTTTGTATGGATCTCGCTGCGCTTGGTCCATACTGTCAAGACCTCGGACCAATATTCTTCCAGTACGGCCCTCGCGCTTGGTTAATAAGATATATGTATATAGTGAAAAAAGGCTGATAGTTTAGAAAGAAACTGTTTGGGGCTGTGTCGGTGGGAGTAACGAAATAGTTTGGATATATCAACAAAGTTGAAATGGTAAATTGGCCACCGTAATGATTACAAAAGCTGACGTTTTGAGCGTTAGCCCTTCGTCGGAGCGAATGACGAAGGGCTAACACTCGAAACGTCAGCTTTTGTAATCGTTACAGTGGCCAATTTGCCATTTCAACTTTGTTGATATATCCAAATTATATATGTATATAGTAAAATATGACTGTTATCTCTCAAGGGGCTTTAGTGGATTGATAAGCTTTCAATAGGGAGTGACATGATATCTTTCTTTTGTTGCAGTATGTCAAGATTGCCCGTCTAGCTGGTGTTGATGAGGAGAGAGATAGAGAGCTTGTGGACCAGGGTTGTGAAATGGAAGGTGTAGAAGATGAAGTGATAGTTCTTCAGGGAGTGTCGAAAACGGTAAGGTATTTGCTTTTTTTGCACTGGAGCTTTAATTCATCCCTTAGAGGAGAAATATGAATCTAAACCATATAATTTTTATCATTGTGATCATAATACCTGAATAAAATTCTGTCTCTTGTTGCAAAAAAAAAAAAACAAGGAGTTTCTGTCACAGCTCACTAGTACCCATATATACTCCTTAATTGGAGGAAAGAAGTACAGTAAGAGTTCAAATGTTTTGCTTAAAAACACAACACACTTATTGAGGCTAGTGCTGTAATGAAACCCTTCCTATCCACCTCTAATGTGTTGACCACATGGCTAGCATGTTAGAACTCCAAGAATTTTACAAATCAGTGGATAAGTGTTTTCTAATTCTTTCTATCTATTTTTCCTTTTTTTGAAGGAAATTTCATTGAAGAGACCAGAGAATAAAAAGTTTGTACGGCGGAAATCTGAACTTCCTCATGACTCATGCACTGTAAATGCGCTATCAGACTACAATAGTCCAGATGAATACCTGGCCACAGCAGCAGAGGGGTAAAATTTGTCCACGAGCTTTCCCTTTCCCCTTATTCGGGTGTGGCACAGTTCAACTCTAAGGGATTCAGAGTCTCTTATAGTGATTGATTTATGGTTACTCTTAAAAATGTTCTTTTGTGGAAAAGAAATATGCTATGAGTTGCAAATTACTTCTAATAGCAGTGGGCTGGTTTCCAAACTGACAGCTTGAAATGAGAATCTCTAAACTTTTTAACTAAGAAGGAAATTTGTATCAGCAACTTCAAAAAGCACATTTCACAATTTGTTAATCCTACAAAGTTTCTTGTTTAAGGGTCACGTTTCAGTGAATAAAAATTAATGTTAAACTTGGAAAAAGAAAACCCAGACATTTTTATTGTTTGGTTAAAAGGCATCCTCATTCTTACAAGGGATTGTATGTGCAACTAATTATCAACATCTCATGCCCTGATTTAATATCCTGACTTCCAAATATACTGATCTTGTTGGTGCAAGCCATCATGAACTTGCCAAAAAAACTCAAAACTTCAGAACTTTTTAAGGCCGTTAAATTCAACATAGTATCAGCATCGACCGCTAGTTTTGAACTTGAAGATTTTGTATACATCTAAATGTAAATTGATTGTTTCAATGTCGCACTTTATGGCATTCAATACGCTTTAATTTGCTTTAATTCTATTTAATGTTTAGCTGTATTTGATTTTAATTAAGTAGTATTTTAGTGTACACGACCCCACAAACTTTTAGCTTTCATACATATTGTGTATAAATAAAGATAACCAACCAACCAACCAACCAAGTCAGAAGGGAAGGGGGGCAGCTTATCAATTGCTGGGACTTCCAGAGATGTGGCTTTTTGGAGAGGGGGGGTCCTTTTAGAGATGCAAATTTTACTGTTTAGAGGAGGGACTTATTTTGGATAGGGGGTGTGTCTAAGGGGGGTTTGGATTGAAGGGTTCTGATAAAAACCTACTGAGCACTCAGATTAAAGTTAATAATTTTCATCTGAATTGTTACCCAGATTTGAATATTGTATACAGAATGCATTTCTTGACCTGCAATGTTTTAACATGAACTATTAGTGGCTTTAAAATATCAGTGTATTACATGCTGAAATGCTACATAGCTCAAACAAATGGCAACGACTCCACTATTTTTTAGTTTTTTTTCTTTTTTGGGGGGGAGGGGGAGGGAGGGGCTACTTAGTAGTACATTCCCTGAGTTAGTTTCCTGCCACAGTTTGACGACTGTGTTCTTGTGTAGCTGTTTCTTCTTTGAGAGCGTTACAGTTGACAATTGTTATTTATTATTTTTATCCACAAAAAGTTAACCAAAAGTTAAGATTTTATTTTACCAAATGTAGATTATAGGATTATTTTTAAGATGGCTGTTAACTTGAAACCAGGTTTACTGTGAAAGCTTTATTAATCATTTTTTTTTTATTTCCCTTCTAAATATATATTTCATACATTTTAACCATTCTTTTTCGTAATTCAAGTCTTACTGACAAGTGGACTAGCAGTAGTTTTGTTTGAGAAGTGTCTATTTGGCTGTATGGCCACTTTAAGCAAACAGTAAAGCTTGTAAAGGGTTTTGCTTTCAAAGAAACACCTCTCTTCAATGAATTCAGTAAAGCTTTTTCAGTAAAGTTGGTTAACCATTATTTTGTTATTGGGTTGCAGGTCTTAAATTTTTTATATGCTATGTTTTTGATTTTTGTGTTAGTGATCAAATAGGGTTTTTTTTTTTTTAATCTCTTTCCCCCCTATGAGTGATGGGATTTCACCTCACAATATCACTTCATTTTCAAGGAGAAAAGCAACATGAAAAAAGAGTGAGATCACTTTGGAAATCTTCTCTGCTTTATTCCCAGAGCTCAGTTGTAAGTAGTGTGTAATGCAGCACTGACTGTGAATTGATTTTCACATCTTGGGAGTGAAAGGGTTAAGGGGGCAATGCACTTAGTTTTGAGTCATTTTTGTTGAACGTATCAATCTACCATAAAATATTAAAATGTAAGCATAGCAAGAAAGAAAAACACCAAAATGTAGAGATTCAGCTTTAAAAGGATTAAAGCTGACAAGAGACGGAGAAGATTGATACAGATTAAAAAATGTTTGACTTGTGAAAGTTGGGCAGATCTTGTCATAGTTCTTTTAACAATGCAGTGGAAAAAGCAGCTGAGATGTGTTTATAGCTGTCAATATTATTGGATGAAATGCAAGGAAATTGAGTTTCAAAATCTACTGGGCTTAAGATATGGGGAAATTCAGCCCAAATCGATCCCCATGTTTATCATTTCAATCTATGACAGTCATCTCCATTTCCAGGCACTCATGTATCTTTTAGGTTTGTGCTATCTCATTCATATTTTTCTGTCTCAAAAAACTGATATTTTGTGGTCCCACAGGAAATGAAGATAGTTTTTCATCGCTGAAAAAACAAAAGGAACACAATTCTAATTATCTTAACAAATCTCCCTCATGACACAATGTGTCTAACTGAATAGGTGGGGTTGGTGGGGACATGGGTTACTGAAGTACTGGTTAGTATCATTCAATCTACCTGTTCATGGCTTAAAAACATTGGTGCTTATGATCTGTAATATCTTGTCAATACAATGGAACCTCGATTTAATGAAGTGCTAAGGGACTGGGGAAATGGGGTTGTTGTATCAAGGGTTCATTATATTGAGGTTCTGTGGCATACATTCTACTGTAACTTTAGCTCGGCTGAAACGGAAGTATCGTTCGTTATACCGAGGACTTCGTTATTATAGAGGTTTGTTAAATTGAGGTTCCACTGCACTGGAACATTTATGGTTACGTAGGGATGTTTTTTTAATGAATTCTGCAATGGTGCGTGGGAAAGAATTTTTTCACGCAATGGGGAACACTAAGGAAAGTAGTTTTTAATGATATTGATGTAAGGATCAGGCATGCCTAATGGTAGCTACATGGAAGTTTTAGTCAAACTAACATAAAAAGTGAAAAATGAATTATTAAAAACTAGATCATTGGATAATGCAATCCAAGACTTGTTATTGGCTTAGCCATTATGGTATATTTAACAATTATTCGCTCAGGTTCGGTGAATATCGTTAAATAATCCCCGAGACGAAGTCGAGGGGATTATTCGACAATATTCACCGAACCTGAGGGGAATAATTGTTTTAGTATAATTTCTGAGCTGAACAACAGAAAAATTTCTAAAATCATAACATTTTAGTAACATTTTATTTTAACATTTTATATGAACCGCGTGGAGCGGTTTATATAGCATCATACAAGGAACGGCTTGACCAATCAGATTGCTGGAAACTCTTTGCCCAGCTCTGAAATTATACCAAAAGCCAATGTACCGTAATCTAATATCTGTACATTGTAACATCCGGTTTCTTCTTATAAAATAAAGTTGAGAAGATTTGTCTGATATCTTGGGGGTGTTTTTTTTTTTTAATAAAACAATTATTCCACTTGCGCTTGTTGGATAGGAGATGATTATTACCAATGAGGCGCATAGCGCAGAGTTAGCTATCTGTTATCTCATATCCAATGCGCGCTTGTGGAATAACTGTTAATTATGTTGTTGACACTCAAGCCTCATGTTGTCTTATTCAGATAATGGTAATTGTTGTTGATGGGGTGTTCATCTCATTCGTTTATTATCGTGGAATCCATATCGAATGATGGCCGAAGGACACTCGGGTCGGTTGTATATCACAATGTCCTGGGGCTGGCGGCACAAGGGACTTGTAGGTGGGGCCCTAGAAGTTACCAGGAGTGACTGGTAATATTTAACACTACAAGTTGTTTTGCAACTTGCGACCCAAGACCCGTGACCTGCGTTTTGGAGCCGCCCTTAAAATTTTTTAATTTAAAAAAAAGTATTTTTAAGAGCTGAGCGTACATCGAGGTATGGTGCACCCTGGTTTCTTGGAGAGCACTTGAGGGAGGCAACGTTGAGGTGCGAGACACTTTGTGTGTCTATACATGAAAAGGAAATAGGACCTTGTTAACAGGCGGACGCCTTCGAAATGGAAGTAGACTCGAAAGAAGTGTGTTTTATAGACTGCCACGCGCATGTATCAGCCAAAGAATTTAGTGAGGTAACGTGAATACTTTCGTCGGATACACAGCCACTACTACTGCACGAGATCTTTTTTTCGTACAATATTAAAGTAGAACATACTTCCACTGTAGACAAGTACATTTTTTTTTATAAGAACGTTTAATTTTGGGGCTGAAGCTGAAAGTTCTTATCTTTTTGCGATTTGAGCCAGAAAAGGGTCTTAACATGTTCTTAAAGTTGTGCGGTAATCAATTCGGACGTGACCAGACGAAGTTTCACAACTAACTGAGTTGAAACCTCATTGTTGATTTAAAAAATGTCCCTAAGTATGTGAATTAATTGTCCTGTTAGACCACAGTTTTACTCTTTTTTTTTTTTTTTACCTTTGTTTATACTTCTCACCAAAAAAATGAGCAAATTAAAGGACGTTCTTAACTGACCCTCTGCCTGGGTATGGTTTTCGTTACTACGTTACTATTCATAACATTTTGGTTGATCTCAGCTAGCCTGAACGTACTTATTAAGAAGGTTCTTATGAAAAAAAAAAAAACAAAAAAACAAAGTATAGGGCTGTGTAGAAATCTTACCCCATAGTCACCCTGAATGACTTTGAAGAATATTTGGATGCACCTTATTTAGCTTTTTAGGTTGTAGTTAATTATGAGTAGAAATTGAGTTGACTTGTGGAAAACTGTGTCAGAAAAATTGTTGTTGTTTTTGTTGTTAATTTTTTCTCGAAGGATTTAGGTGTTGTGATCGACTAAGCAAAACAGGTATGCTATAAGCTTAACATAGCCCTTAAAGCATTCCAAAAAGTTGTGTACATACTAGTTAATAATATTCTTCCCTGGCTATCATGCACCTTGTGGACTAGTTTCTAGTGCTTCCATGACATAAAGGTTAACTGGTAGTTATGAAAACACAGTGATATTGAAGTAAGGAAGTATACATTCATAGCTTTTACAAGGTTTTCAAATTTAGCCAGCACCTGGCACAAGTCACTAGCTACTTCAAGCATTTGCGTTGGGTACTTTTTGTATTCCAGCACCCCACCCCACCCCACAAGACTGCAGTTATTGCGATGAGATAGTGCTCCGGCTACTTTACAACTTCCTCCAGCTACTTTTTTTCAATTTGAAAACCCTGCTATTAGTAATATTATTGGGATTATCTTGGTGGCAGGGGGAGTTCCTTTTTTAATGTGTGACTGCCCAGGAGATTTGTGGGTAAGAATAAACTTTTTAACCCTCTAACTCCTATAAGGGACCAAGACAATTTCACCAAATAAATATATCAATATAATATCAAGTAGACAAGTGATGAGAAAGAAGGAAAATATCAACAATTGGAGATTTCTTACATGTAGTTGATCCAAAACTAAATTACCGTATTTATTCTATTAAGCGCCCAACCTCGAATAAGCACCCACCCTGAAGGTAGAAAAAGTTAATAAGCGCCCAGCCTCGAATAAACGCCCACCCCCAACACCCCACCCCAAAAAGTACTTTTTAAGCGCCCAACCTCACATAAGCGCCTATCTCCCCCTTAAAGATAATAATAATAATAATAATAATAATAATAAAGTACATAAGAGGAATACAGGTATTGATTACTATGGTGTTGTATTTCTTTAATGGCTTACAATCTCTAGTTTTATTGTTTCATTTTTACTTACTGAAAATGGTGAAAATTTAATAAGTGCCCAGCCTTGAATAAGCGCCCACCTCGAATAAGCGCCCACCCTGAAAGTCCAAAAATTAAAAGTGCCCAGGGCGCCTAATCGAATAAATATGGTATAACAACCAAAGTAAAGCGCACACTCTGATTGGTCAATTCAGCATCTACCATTTGCCCATGGGTGTACACTGCTGACGTGAGCAAATGCAAAGACTAGTTTTTTTGCGTGCACTTGTTTTTTCTGGTCATGTAAGTTTTGTTAAATAAAAGAAAACTCTTTTGCTACAATGTATGTTATATGTTATAAAACAAATGGTAAATGCCACAGTGTACACTATTGAGCTATGGATGCACTTGGGAGGTTTGCTAAGCCCTCAAGAAGCTAGAGTCGCTCTCGGCTATTGCCTCGTGCAACTCTTATGCTTCTTTCGTGCTAAGCAATTGCAACCTCCCACATTCATCCACAACTCAATAGTATAGGCTGTGGTGTTTACCATTTGTTAATTCTCCTATCCAACATCACAAGAATTTTCTTGCAGACAGGGAGGAGAATTACTGATGAGATCTTGGGAGTGATAGGGAGTGATAGACTTGAAGCTTTTTATTTATATTTAGTTGTAGCTTACCAAATCTTGGTCAAACAACTTGCTTGTGTGTGCAATGCAAAAGACTTCTATTCTGTGCAGTCGATAGTCAAAGCGATAGTCGCTAGTCAAAGCTTCTCAGAAAGTGATTTTCTATTCAAATGAAAAATTTAGTGAGGCTCTTCTGTTGTTATTAAGTGCCCTATCCTCAGACTATCATGCCCATTTTCCAAACATCCACTTCAGCTCTCAGCCCTGTTTGTGCACTACATACCATACTAACCAGCATTTTTTTTAAAAAAGCTTCTAAGGTTGTTGTAGTATCTAGAGTATCAGTCTTGAACAGAGCTAATAAAAGTAAAATGAACTACAATGCCCTGCATGCAGTAGAAACCTTACTTTTTTAATAAAACTCGCTCCGCAATCAAGTGATCCAACATGATTGATTTACGACATTACATTTGTAGCATTTTACTGTTTTCAAATAGTAGTGCCTGTTATGTTTTGTTTTAGGCTGGTGTAAGAGCTATAGTTGGTGTGACAGAGTTCAAAACAGAATTCACTGGAATGCTTGAACTTCATGAGAGGTGTGTTAAAAATGTTTGTAACATAACTTGTAAATTTTTGCAATCAAATTAAATTGCAAGAATGTGCTTCAATTTGCCATTGTGCACCCTGTCATGACATTCATTTTTATGCATTAATTCTCCTGTCAGTTTTTGACGAATCTGAGGTGAGATCATTGAAGCATAGTGAAATACTTTTTTGAAACAAAATAAACAACACATTGAAGCATTGAAGAGGGAATTTCAGCACTTTATACATAACCTACAGCGTTGAAAATGTTATAAAACAATTGGTTCATGTGTCAGCTATGCATTCATCGAGAATTGAAGCACACGGGTAGTTTGGAGAGTACAAAAGATGCCTAAGAGTTGTTCAAGGCGCAGCCAAGAGCAACTCTCATGCATCTTTCGTGCTCTCCAAACTTCCTGTGTGCTTCAATTCTCAGTGAGCGCACACAGATGCATGAACCAATTGTTTAATATCAGTATGTTAATGTCAATCTGTCAATCTTTCTGCTGCAATATTTTCAAAATTTAAGTGAAATTGCTAGTGGTTGGGGATTTTACTTTGTGCATGCATGTAAAATTGGTCCAAACTAAGAAAGATTTCAAATCATTTTTTGTTAATTGATAATCATAGTGGCAAATTGAAAGTGTGATGTGATTTCTGTGAAATACCTTTTACTGTCTATTTTGCGATTTATGAATGGGTCTTAAACAATAAGTTTGTCACATGGTTTGTTTAATATGTAAGACTTTTAGAGATTATTGTCCGGTCTGACAATAACAATGGTGATTCTGATGATTTACACTGACTGTCCAAATATCCTCTGTGAATTCAAAGTTTCAGGTTGCTTCCAGAGCCTTGTAGAATTTAACCACAGGTAACCCAGGCTCACCGTTTGTGTCACGTGCACGTGGTTACTGTAATA